TTTAGTAAAAAAAATTACTAAACACCAATGGGGGAGAAAAACGAACTACGTTCGGTTCTACGAAAAGCTCGTTGACGATCGAGTCCTAAGGGCGGAGAAATTGTCCGCGTGCTTGGCGTTCGAAGGCGGCTCGCACGAGGGATGGCGACCAGAGATGGCGGAGAGCTGGTCGGCGAGCGGGACAGTGGCCGAAATTTGCAGACGCGACGTGGAGTACGGAGGCGGCGGCGGCTTGCTGTTTGCGCGCGTGGGGAGGCGGAGCGACGGCTTTCGGTGATCGAGTGCGGCTGAGGAGCTTCCAGCGACCACGATGAGAGAGGGCGAGAGAGATGCTGAGGTTGAAGGTGAGGAGTGAGGGAGAGAGAGAGGGATTAACGAGAGGGAGAGAGAGAGGAATGAGGGCCTCTTACACACATGAGCCTATTAAGCATGATATGACTACACGGGACTCCATGCCTGCCTCACACGAATCTCCATCACCAACTATGCTTATTTCTTAATTTTAAAGACTTGATTTTTGTACCATCCAAATCTTGGTCAAAGGGAGGGGAATAAGGAGATGAGGGCAGGATATTATCTCCCTTTAAATTCAAAAATTCAAACTTCATTTCCATGCATGCAAGAGAGGGGAGGGCGACGCGGGCCGGGTCGGAAGACGCGCGCGGGTTGGGGGCTGCGGGTCGCGGCATGAGAAATGGGAGGGTGGTTCGGTGGCCCAGTTCGAGAGTTCGGCAGTGTTCGTTCGGTTCGAAGTCCCAGTTATTTATGACTATTCGATTCAACCGAAAATTAAAAATACTATTAATATACGGCTCGATATTAATTTAATACAATTAGCAATTATGAGCAATTAATCGAAATAAAATTATCGAGCTCGAATAAAATAATTTTGGAAAATAAAATAAAATAAAATAAATAACAATAATAATCTCCAAATAATTTCAGAACAAATGGAGTGCTACAAAACTCTCAGATGAAGTGGAGTAGATCCTCATTCGGAAGTCTGTGGAATGACGACAGCTAGTTGTAATGGATCATCTTCAATTCGTAGTTTCGTGTTGCTTCCCCAAACCGAATACAAGAATTGATTGGCCCGATCATCGGTTGGGCTAAGTCTCGGAGGAGGACGCGAGGGGGTGGTTGCGCCATATTTTTATTTGTTTCTTTGGATGATTCGAGGCTAAGCTTGTCGAACAGCTCCCCTACCCTCTCGTGACTTGGTTTGTCGTTTGGTTCTAGTATATGTCCACTCCTGGTACAAATACACAAAGACAAAAGAAACAGTCATGAGCACCAGATAAACAAAGAAGAAAAACAAAGAGAAATACGAAAACAACTAATCACAAGAAAGAAAGAGAAACACGAAAAACAAAGTGAATAGGTGCACAGTCATAATCCTAAACCTTCCCCAGCAATGGCGCCAATTTTGTTGTAGCAAAATCTATTTTTTTATCGAGTACTGAATCGAAAGATTCGTTTCCCGGGTCGATCTCAACGAAGGTTAGCCGGATATGCTTGTGCGTTTATTCTATCACAAAAAGAGAAAATAAATTCATAAACACAAACAATGAAAAATTCAAATTAAAAAGCAAAGACTAAGATCAAATGATGATAAGAAGCTATGGAGTCAGGGATGATGATTTTCAAAGCAATGCAAATATCAAGCTAAGATCATTCGGTTAAATGATTCGAACAACCTAACATCTAAATATTAATCCTCAATTACTCTTCGTAACAAGAGGGTATCATAGGCGGTAAATCACGCAAATCACACAACACATAGACAATATGTTTCCGAACAAGTCTATTTCATGCGAGCCTAGATCGATCAACTCCTCCCCTTTCGGTTCTAAGAGTTGATTAATTTATCCTAGATGATTGTTAATCTACTAGTTCGTCAGATTTAAAAACATCACACAAGAACGAATCATATTCAATTGAAAATCAATTTCAAATCAAAGTGTCACTCTTCGACAATATTCAACATTCAATGCACGATAATTATAAACCCTTGTTAAGAACAACTCGCATAAATTGAAGGATCAACAAGCATGCTAACCACAATTAAATTCTAAACATCATCATCATCCCCTATCCATAGTGAATCGAATTAGCTACTCATATGGAATTCAACATCACAATTCACATCAACCCAAGCCATCATCCTCAATAACAAATTGAGAAAAGAACTTATGATTAATGTAAAAATCCTAATGTCAAATCTAAGTGCAATCCAAATCCAAGCAAGAGAAGGAGTTTTTCAATCTCCAAATCAAATCCAAAGTGAAAAAACTAAGAGAGGAAGATGTTTGCCAAGTCTGGAATGTAATAGAATGCCCTAGGTCCAAAAACAGATTAAAAATCTCGCATCTCGATTTTCACGTCGCTAGGTCGCGAGTCGCGACTTCTCCACTTCTTCAGGTCGCGAGTTGCCGCTTCCTCGCGAGTCATGCGTCGTCAAATTCTTCAAAATCCGGGGGAGTCGCGACTTCATCTCGCGAGTCGCGACTTTCATGTCGCGAGTCGCGACTTTCATGTCGCGAGTCGCGACTCCATCTCGCATCCTGCACCATCGGGCTCTGCTAAACTCGCGAGTCGCGAATTTGGCTCCGAGTCGCGACTTTGGCTGCACTGCATGACTTTTACGTTTCGGGCTCGTTTGGGCTTGTCCGAACTCGAAATTAAGTTCTGTTTTTTGCTACGCATTGCCAACGAACCCTTCTATTCAATTATGCTCTCAAAACCATTTTTTCCTGAAAAGAATATCCCCCCAAAGCTCCCGAAATACAAACCATAAATGACAAAATACGAAAAAAACGGAAAAAACAAAGGAAAAACACATAAAGACTCAAAATGAAGGAAAACACATAAGAAAACACAAAACGGACTTAACACGAAAGAAACGACCTAAAACGGGGAAAAAAGAAAAGAAAAAAGAGCACGAAAAATGCAACAAAAATAGGACAAACAGTTGGGGTCGGGTGTGGTTCCGACAGCTCGCGGCTTTTATCGGCGATGGCGGGGCTTCGATTGCACCACTTTTGCTCCTCTCCCCTGTTCTATAGTGTTGGGTTCGGGGGGTGTGCCGGTGATGTCGATTCTTGCTAGTGGTGTTAGCCGGGTTCGGTGCATCGGTGGGTCTGGGGCAATGGGGTTGTTTTCCGGCTGTGGGGCAAGTTGGGTCGACTTGTGGTCCGTAGGCTCGGGTCGGCTTTGCCAATGGTACTGAGTTCGCTAGTGGTGTTAGTAGGGCTGAGCATGGGACTAAGAGAATTCGAACCGTTCCGAAAACCGAATCGAAAAATAACCGTTGACTATTTGACTTTCTCCAAATCGAACCAAATCGAAAAAACAAATGGTACGGTTCTGGAGATTTCACAAATATCCGTACCGAGAATCAAACCAAACCGCCCCATACCGTACCGAACCGAAGAATCGAAGTTAAAACCAAATTATAAAATTAGATGTGTGTTATTAATATATTTTATGTCAACTTTGATCCTATATATTTTGAGAATTTTTAAAATTCGATAGAATATAGTAATAACAATGAAACTTCACTTAAATGTCATGCTTAGTAATACTTTATCTACAATTGAATTTTTCCTGTTTGAAAACAAAATATTTAAAATAGTATGAAAGGTTAAAGAAATATTTTTAGACAAAAATATTTAAACTTTACTTAAATTTGTCGATACTTAGTCTTATTATATCTTATAACTAACATGGTATGGAAGGTTAAAGAAATTACTTTAATAAAAAACTATATTATATTTTATTTGAATTTTAAATTTTCAATGCTAGTTGCACAAATTTAATCTTAACTAAAATTTAGAGTTACTTCTAAAGTTGTTTTAAAATCTTGTATGATGAAGTATTGATGAATGTTGAATTAAAAAAACATATAAAAACTAAAATATAACTAGATGGTCATTAACAGAAATTTAAAAAATAATTACAAAACTCCGAATATCCGAACCGAACCAAACCGAACCGGACCGTTCCGATAGTCCCTTATACCGAATCTAACTGAAAGAAAAATAAAAAATCTCCAAACCGAACCTGACCGATTTTTTGGTACGGTTTCGGAGATCGAATTTTAGTGATCTTTGAATTTCGGTACGGTTCTGGAGATTTGTCGATCTCCAAGCCGTACCGACCCATGCTCACCCCTAGGTGTTAGTAGACTCGGTACTGCGGCGGCTAGGGGTAACCTTGGCATTTTTTTCGATTCCAGGGCGAATTGGCTTTGGGTGTGTTTCGAGGCTTGGGATTCGACTCAGCTAGGCGGGTTTCAGCAGTGGCGGGTCGGTTTTCTTGGGTTGGGTCGATTTGGTGACTGCTGGTTCGGCTTGGAATTGCTGCTGTGGAAGGACACATGCTATCTTTATGTTTCTGTGTGTTTTTTATTGTTTAGGTGTTTTTGTTTGTTTTCAGTCTTATGTTTTTGGTTTGGGTCGTTGACCCATGTGAACTCGAGTGTGACCATATTATACTGTTGGGATCGTATACTTGGACATTATTCTGTTGGGATCTTTTTTAGTTGTTTTTTGAGTTTTTGTTTGTGTTTGTCGTTTTGGTAGTGTCTCGAGTCTTATTTTGGTTCCTAGCGTTGCTAGTGACGGATTTAAGCGGTCTTCTGACATGTCCTCCCAGTTTATTCAATTGTTGGTTATCTTATTCAACTAAGAGTTGTATGTTTACACTTTTGTGTGTTTTGAATTATTAGAATATCTGAAAAAAAAAAAAAAAAAAAGACAGATTTAAAATCACACACTTAAGTTGAGTCCACCAAAGCCCACTAATATCTATTCCCATAAACCACCCCTTCACACGTGAGAACAAACTAATATTTCATCGAACGCACCCGCTTCACACGTATCCAATCTGAAAATCATCAAAAAAATTAGAAATAAAAATGCAAGAAATTAGACTTATAATTATTAATTATAAACACAAAACGAAAATAAATAAAATAAAAAGTCAGTTCATAAGCGAACTTGGATTCGCCATTGCCATCAGTGTTCTCCAATCTACATTATCTGCTGTTCATCCAATCTAACGGTCCTCAGAGGGTGGAAGAGGGGAGAAGAAGAAATCACAGCCGCGTGTTCCTTTTCTCTTCATCCTCTTTTCGCTGCCAAATTCAAAGTTTCACTCCCACCATGAATGACAAGGCCAGCGTTTCCAAAGAGCTTAACGCCAAGCATCGCAAGGTAGTAATTTTGTGGCTGGATTTGAATTTATCCAATAAACTTTAATTATATTATTTTTTCGTGCCGAGCTGAATGATCGATTTGTCAACTTAATGCTTGTGGTTCGGCGTTTGACGGGCTTGTGGTTTAATGGATTTGATGATTTATTGGTCAGGCGTATTTTGTGTTTGAGGTGTATTCTTGGATTGATGTTTTCAGTGTGATTAGTCAGGTGGAATATGTTTTTCTAAGGTTGAGGTTGTTTAATTCTGTGTACTTTGAGATTTGATGGCTTTCATTTTGATTTGATCTAGATAAGTGATATGTTGATAATCCATGCAGGATTGGATCTAGTCAGTTGCAAGTATATGATTTTATCACATGTCTTATTTACTAGGACCTATGTTTGGCTGATGTTACTAAATAGGACGCTGTGGATTGGTATATGATTGTTGATTGGGGGCTTATGGTGAAAGTTGTATTAACTGCAGACGAGGAGCCGGAAATGTTTAAAGAATTTCTTGTGTTCCTTAATCAACAGTCATAGATATTAACACATCTGAGAGCCATCTGTTCTGGTCGAGTTGATTTTGAGAGATTATGAACTCTAATGTCTGATTGATCAGTGATACCAGAATCATACATCGCCATATTACAAGGATGCCAGTTTACGTATGTGGCTAGAGATGGGTAGTGCCGACATTTATTCCCATCATTTTTGTACTTCTGCAGTCCTATGTTTCTTCTCATTGGTTCTTTCATGATTCCCTTTATGTATTTGATGTGTTTACTTTTTCCACCAAAATTTTAGAACCTGGGTTTAGTTGCTCCATATCTTTGTTCTCTTCTTGAGATTTAGTAATTAATATTATGACCTCTGTGTTGTCAGATTTTAGAAGGACTTCTTAAATTGCCAGAAAATAGGGAATGTGCTGATTGCAAATGCAAGTAAGTACTTCAGATGATTTACATTTGTTTGGTTGCAATTGGCACTGAGCATAAAGTGAAGAAAGGCCAATCGAAGAAAAGAAAGGCCAATCGAAGACTATATATCTTCTTATGTTCTGCTCTTGAGATTATGACACTCCTATTTCCTTTTTTAATCCCTTTCGTGTGTGACACTGTCCATGTGTGGGGACGTGTAACAGAGGTCCTCGGTGGGCTAGTGTGAACTTGGGCATATTTATTTGCATGCAATGCTCTGGGATCCACAGAAGTCTTGGAGTACATATATCAAAGGTGCCATATTCGGTGTATTTATATTTTTTAATTTATTGCGGATACATGCTCTCTTGGAAGTTCTTTTATGATACATGCTCTCTTGAGCCCTTTTTGTGTTTCTCTTACCATTGGTTCTCTTGGGTTTCATCTCTAGCCTACCCCAACTTGCTTGGGACTAAAAGGCTATGTTGTTGTTGTTGTTGTTGTTGTTGTACCTATGTTGGGTAAAGTTTACGATTACATAGGCACAATTTACATTGTTGTTTGGTGGCAGTCATTGAAAGACATCACCAAGGCAACCTATATAAAACTTTCTCCCCTTTTCCTGTTGGCCAAAGATGTAGTTTGTTTCTAGAGATTTACGTTGCATAGTTAGATGAATCATTCAAGGGGTTTATAATGTTGTTTCTTTTTCTTTTTTTTTTCTTCTTTTTTTTGCTTCTTTTTTCTTCTCATTTAAGGTTCTTAATGTCAACTTTTACCTTTTGTATGTTATTATCTTTCCTCAGCCTTAGAAGTATGTAGAAGAATCACTTTGGAGGCAATTGGATATAGAACTTTTTTGGAAAATTTTGTGTCGCCAGTCAAGAGAGATGAAAAGGTGGAAAAAAATAGGAGAAAGAATAAAACATTTTTGAGATTATGAATGAAATGGTTCTACAGTAAAATTTAATGATTAACGTTGATGCAATATAAAAATTGTAAAATATTGATTGGGACACGGCTTCTAGAATTTCCTTATCGGCATTTCGTCCCTCAGCTCACAAACTCGAGAGTTGGGGCATTTGGCATAGGTATATGAAACTTGTAAGTCTTCTCACATCATCTTCAACTCCTACATGTTGGGAAATATGTGAATAGGTGAATAACGTTTTTTGTTGGGAAATATGTAGTAATGGTTGTTTTTCATTTTAAATTGTGTTAATAAGTGATGAGAAAAAAAGTGGGCTAGAATAAGTGGTGTATTTTCTAAAACTGTTTTGTATCCAATCATATATATATCTGGCCATACATAACTGGAAAATATATAAATCCAACTGCCAACTTAATTTCTTAGTCAATTTTTCTCTCTCTCTCTCTCTCTCTCTCTCTCTCTCTCCCCCTTTTAAGTGACAGTGGATTGTTGATTTCTAGTTGTGGTTCATGGATGACATATAGTTTGTCTTTTCTAGGTCAGATCTGCTACACTCGACACATGGCTCCCTGAACAGGTTGCATTTATTCAATGTAAGAAGTCTGCATGTCTTAATCTATCTGTTTCACATAAGTTGGCATTTCAATGGAATTTTATGAACTTGAGTTTTCTTTGTATAACATAGCCGTTGGAAACGAGAAAGCAAACAGTTACTGGGAGGCAGAGCTTCCACCAAATTATGATAGAGTTGGGATAGAAAATTTTATTCGTGCGAAGTATGGGGCTTCTTTCCCTCAAGGATTTCCATCACGCACTTCTCTTTCTTTTGTCTGGTTCTAGAAAGAATTTTGTCTTATTCATTTGTCTATACTACTAAGGTATGAAGAGAAGAGATGGGCATCTAAGGATGTGAAACCCAAGTCCCCTGCAAAATCACCATCTTCCGTCCAGTGGCAAAGTTCAAGTAATAGAAGTGGGCATGGGCATGTCAACGATTCCGGGAAATTTTCAAATGAAACGGAAAATGTTTCAGTATTTAGTGCCAAAGAAAATAGTCGTGCTGCCAGAATGAGTGTGCCCGTGCCTCTTAAATGGCCAGAACAAGTATGTTGCATCGCCCATGCTTATATCTATATCTAGTTACATATATCTGTATATATAGGGACTGGTTCTAGTGAGAACCATTCTTAAAATAAGTACATATGGATTAGTCGCAACCATCCATTATGCTAGATCCAATGGATGTACATTTGGTTAAAGAAATGAATGGCATAGTACTTCGACATACGCATCATTGAATATGTAAATATTCATCAGTCGACTTTTAAATAAGCATTTTGAATTTAGATTATTTTTTTTCCACCTCTATTTTTCTTTCATTCTATTTGCTAACATACGCAAATATTTTCAAAATAAATTACATTATATTATTCCTTACAATCTAAGGAATAAAACACTTACCATTACGCTATGTAAAGTTTTATTATATATCTAAGAGTTAAAATTGAAATTATCATTGTTAAGTTCATGTGCGTGCTACAAATATGTGGGCTCTTATTTGTTTGTCTGGTAACAGGTAGCTCCATCTGTAGTTACCGAGAAACTGGAACCAGATGCTACTGCTGAGCCGCTGAAACAGGTTCAAGACATAGCGTCTCAGCCAAAGGTTGATTATGCTACTGATCTCTTCAGTATGCTTTCTGTGGATAGTTCTGGTGAAAATGCCACTGGAGCATCTGGTGATGATAACATGCGGGCTGGATTTCAGTGTAAGTATGAATAGTCCTTATCAGGATTTGCTGCAGGTTTTATGTGGAAATGCATGCTTGTATGGGAATGGGCCAATGGGGTACATGACTTTTACTTTGCGATTGGAAATAAACTCATTTTGAGAAATTTTCCCTTGATAAAATCTTTGAGATTCATTATACAAAATATTTTTTTTTTAAAATAAAAAAACACGCTTCAGTTACTTCCTTTTTATTTTTATATAAATAATTTAAATTTATTTAGTGCACAAATGATCAAGCCTATCAATATGATACATTGTTCAATAAATTTCACTATTTGCACACACAAATACATATTTAACAACTAATCATATCGAATCGGTATTGTACTTTTAATCAGCTATCATCATTACATTGTCATCTCGTATCCATCGACACTCAAGGTTTTTCATTATTGCAAAAGATGTTAATCACTATTCTAGTATGTGAACAAAAATCCCTAAACGAAGTTTATCCGATTGCCACATTAGGAATTCACAAGGTGAATGCATTTTTTTTTTTTTTTTTTTTTTTNTTTTTTTTTTTTTTTTTTTTTTCGCTTATTTCTCTGGAAGTAATGTTTTATTTGCTGCAGCTGCTGATGCACCATCATCGTCAGAAAAGATCCATTCTTCTGCAAAAAGTGATATAAACAAATCACAGTCAGCATCTGGAATCGAAGACCTATTTAATGATTCACCATCAATTGAACCCAGTACTACATCTGTAACACCTCAGAAGGACGTCAAAGGTGATATTATGTCTCTTTTTGAGAAGGTATGTTTTGTGCCTGATAAATATACTTTCCCCACTCTTAAATTTCTTCAGAGTATCTGAAAAAAATGCCAATAGTTACTAACCCACCTAAAAAGATCTATACATTATTTATGCTTAATTATAACAGCTACCCTTAGGTCTATCGTAGCGACAAAAATCTTGATTGTATTTAAAAATTGTTCATATATATATATTCCTGAACATTTGTTTTTATCCTGAAAAAGTACACCGTGAAATGATTACTACCATCAGTGGGTCATTCTATTAAAATCAAACATGTTTTTTCCTTGTGCTTTCTCGTAGTTAGATTGAACCTAGGGGTATATTCTTCAATTATCCCTTATACGTAGCAAAAAGGGTACAAATCTGGGGGCACAAGTGGACTTTCATTTCCATAGTGTTCATTATTGTTTCATCCCAGTACTGGGAAAACAATCCACCAATTGTACTTTTCCATATTGCAGACCAATATCGTCTCACCATTTGCTCTTCACCAACAACAACTTGCTATGCTGGCTCAACAACAATCTCTTCTATTTGCTGCCGCAGCAAATGCTTCCGGGGGAACTACAAAAGTTCCTGGCAACACACAACTTGGGCTTAATGGAATCAATCTGCCCAACCAAAGTTGGCCGAATGTCGGTTACCACATTCCGGGGATGACAATGTCAGCAGCTGGGAAGAATGAATTAGATAAATACATGCAGGTAGGAGAAAGTGACTTCAATGCTGTCATTGGAGATTCTTTTGGAGTATTAGTAAATTTGCTCACTTTCGTCTTGTCTGCTTGGACAACAGATGGCTAACATAGGAATAACGGCAGCTCATCAAGCAGGTGGCAATTCTTGTGCTGTCCCGATGTCGAGGTATACTCGTCGGTAATTTACATGGTAGATTTCATGTTCTTGTTATTTTGGTCAAAAGTGCTTATGGATCTGAGTGTGAATGGGGATATTCTTGACNATTAATTAAAGATAGAAGTAGAGTTTTAGCCTAAGTACCAGATCGAATCCATTTTCATTTCAAAATTAAAAAATAGTGTTGTGTGTTTGACATTATTTTTCAGCTGCTTAGCTACCATGTGTTTACTTTTTTTGAAAAGGTGAAAGTGGGGATCACAGACTTCCTGATGATTTCTATTTATGGTTTGTTATAAGATCACTCATATTTCTGAATCATGTTGCAGTGCGTATTCAGTTGGAGCTAATGCTTCCAGTAATGGCAGTACACCTTTGGTACCCGACAAACAGTCCACAACATCACTTTCATCTGCTTCTTCACCAGCAGGAAAAGATTTCGATTTTTCATCCTTGACGCAAGAGTTTTTCTCAAAACGTTGAACGAGATGGCTTCAGTTGACTCTTGCGTGAGCAGTTAACTGGGAAAGTAGTTACTGCAGTTCTGTTTTTGTCCTTTGTTTGGGGTTTTGTAAGCTATTGACTGTAGGCGATCAGTTTGAACCTACTTTTGGTTCGTTTGTGTATCATTGTAATAAATTGGTCGTCCAGCGGATGACCTTTTTTTTCACAGGTCTTATTCGTAATATTGGTAATATTCTTAGAATTATATTGTTGTCTATATATCAGCGTACAATTTTTTGTTGTACATTCTTGAGTACACTTGAAGTATGACGATCGTTTTGAAAGATGCTGGAGTTCGGTACTCAAGTATTTTTTTTTTTCCAAGATTTTTTTTGTACATAATTTAGTGTATATAATTTGGTAAAAGAGAAGTGTGCGTGCCCTCGAGGAATCCATTAAATTAAAGTATTTAAATAGTCTCACCTTATATGAGTCAATGAGCACCACATCCATCATTGTGTTTGAAATTTCGATTTCTGTAAAGGTCCAAGTGCATCATCATCGTGAAATGTTCGTCATCACGTCTGATATAGAACGTAATACGAACAGGAAGAACACGAGATACTCTCTCGTAAATACTCAACAGAATTCTTCAATCAATCGTTAAATCACCGTCAACTACAATAGAGAGTAGAATAATATATAGTCCTAAACCCCTAAAACTCTTGTCTTGCTAAACAAGATAAATCTCAATAATATTTATTTTCCTAATCCCAAATATCATAAATAAGGAAATAGAATAATAATCATAAGATGCCAATAAAATAATTAATACAGCAGTGTAAATTATCAAATCAACGCTGGGAGCCGATCGTATTTGTCTAAAAAAGCCATTGCGAGCTCGTCAACATCAATGTCTCTTTTAATTTGTTGTGCTTGACTTTTGCCAATGTATAGTTTAATGACTAGTATTCTATCATGTACATATGCACGGATGCTTAAAATATCACAAATTATATGTATGTGTATAATATTAAAATTAAAAGTTAAATAATAATATCGCATTTTAAAACTTTTGTTATTAGTAAAAGTGAACATTATAAAAGTATTCAACTTCATCGCAATTTTGATTGCATCAAATAAAATAGATAATGTAGTTTTCATAAATTTAAGAGACCCTAAACTACTAATTATCTTAAAAGGTATTATTATTATTATTTATGAAATTTTAAGATATTTGTTACACCACTAAAGTCAATTAAAATTATTCTGATCATTAAAATTTTTAAGATATTTGTTATACCACTAAAGTCAATTAAAATTATTCTGATCATTAAAATTTTTAACATGTTTGGTCAACATTCTTTAAAAATCAAATTATTCTGATTTTCGCGAATTAAAATTATTCTGATCTGATTAGTGTCCAGATTATGTAATTAGTGTAAGAAAATAATTAATGCTAATGAGTAACGGGTTATGGCAAGAAAGTGTCACGTAGTTATTTTTAAATAGATTTTATTTAATGTTGAGCCAGTAATCTATATATATATAGTTACTGGCTGATGCATTTAATAAAAAACTTAATAAAACCTATTTTCATTTTCCTCCAAAAGGAGTTATATTTTTTTAATTAACTATTCACTAATCTGCTAAAACCGTTACACCTTAATATATATATTTTTATTATTTATTTTTTGGATCAGTGACTAAATTAATTCTAAATTTGGTAGCAAAATATTCAAATGTGTAACAACTAATGTTTGGTTGTATTGTTGGAAGAAAAATATGATTGACACATATTTTTTTTTTCTAAAAATCAGAGACACCAATAATTTTTTTATTTATGTTAATTTTCATATTTTCTTAATATATGGCACAAATATATAAATTATTTTATTTATGTTACTAATGTAAACGTTGTATGGTTAAAATAAAATTTAAATCTCAATTAATTTTGAATGATAAAAATAACATCAGAAAAAGTAATAATTTTTATATGATAGAAGTACATGTATAATTAATAATTACAAACAAAAACGTGTTTTATATCTATGCAAATGCAAAGGATCGAATACTAGTTCTATATATATATATATATAGGGGATGGATCCAATGAGACCACTCCTTAAAATGAGTACGTGAGACTCAATCTTAGCCACTCATTTTGTCTAGATCAAAATCAATTAAAATATACATTAATTACATAATAAAATAGTTGACCGTTGACTCCGGCGTTGACCGTTGACTTCCGGCGTTGACCTGTTGTATTGAAATAAATAACCTAGCAACAAAAGACACTCAACCTTGAGTGGTGTAGTGGTTGCATTGCTTGTCTTGCCTCCATGAGGTACCAGGTTCAAATCCTATGGGTTACAATTTTTTTATAAAAAAAAAAATACAACTAACTTAGCAACATCAAACAACTAACCTAGCAACAAAACACAACTAACTTAGCAGCAACAAAACACAACTAACTTAGCAGCATCAGACAACTAACCTAGCAACAAAACACAACTAACCTAGCAGCAAGAAAAAACAACTAAACTAGCAACAAAGACAACTAACCTAGCAACAAAACACAACAAAACACAACTAACCTAGCAGCAAGAAAAAACAACTAAACTAGCAACAAAGACAACTAACCTAGCAACAAAACACAACTAACCTAGTAGCAAGAAAGAAATAACCTAGCAACAAAAGACAACTAACCTAGCAGCGAAAAGAGCCACTTACAGACCGTCATCCCACCGCCGCCACCACAGCCGGCGGCGGCATTCCCTAATTATTCATTAACGTTGAATTTCGACCCACTTCGCTTCTCTGTTAATTTTCTTTCCCACCGCTCGATTATATGTATCTTTCAACAGTCCCAAACATCGCGTCGCCTTACATTACCTACGGAAAGCTCCTCTCCAAGCTCGCTCAGACCAAGTCCGTAAACGAAGGCCTAAAAGTCCACGCCCACCTCATCAAATCCGGACTATTCGAGGGCGACAAACACCGCAGTCATTTGGTGAACCTGTACGCAAAGTGTAAGTTCTTCGGCCACGCACGGAACTTGATCGACGAAAGTCCCGAGCCGGACTTTGTCTCCTGGTGCTCGCTGGTCTCCGGGTACGTCCAGAATGGGCTTGGAAAGGAGGCCATTCTCTCCTTTCGCGAGATGCGATCTCTGGATGTCAGGTGCAATGAATACGCCTTGCCCAGCGTGCTCAAGGCTTGTTCAGAAACAAACAACTTCACCTTCGGGAAACAGGTTCATGGACTCGTGCTCGTGACAGGTTTCGGGTCGGATGTGTATGTTGGAAATACTTTGGTAGTTATGTATGCAAAATGTAATATTTTTTTGGGTTGCAAGAGATTGTTTGAGGATATAGAGGAGAGGAATGTGGTCTCCTGGAATACTTTGCTTTCGTGTTACGCTCGGGCAGATTTTTTAGTGAGGCAATGGGTTTGTTTGGGGAGATGGTTTGTGGTGGAGTTAGGCCGGATGAGTACTGCTTGTCGACTGTGTTGAACGCTGCAGCGGGGATTGGAGATATCGATCAGGGGAAGAAGGTTCATGGCTATCTTATAAAGCTTGGTTATGAAGGTGATCAGTTCTCTCTGAATGCGTTGGTTGATATGTACACAAAAGTGGGCGATTTTAAAGATGCAATTGATGTTTTTGGTAATATTCCGGAACCTGATATAGTTTCTTGGAATGCGCTAATTTCTGGTTGTGTATTGCATGGATATTACGACCAAGCTTTGGCATCTTTAGAACGAATGCAGAGATCAGGTGTAAACCCGAATGTGTTTACGTTACCAAGCGCCCTTAAAGCATGCGCGGCGTTAGCTGATAGGAGATTGGGCAAACAATTGCATGCCAGGTTGATTAAGATGGAGATAATGATGGATCCATTTGTTTTTGTAGGCCTAATTGACATGTATTGCAAGTGCCAACTGATGAAACATGCATTAATGGTGTACCGTTTGATGCCAGAGAAAAACTTGGTGGCAATGAATGCAATGATCGCTGGGCATACACTAAATGGGGAGAATTGGGAAGCTTTAACCCTGTTTACGGCTATGTACAATCAAGGAATGGAATTTAATCAGGCAACTTTACTAGCTGCCCTGAATACAGTTGCTAGTTTGGAGGCGCTTATTGTCTCCAAACAGATTCATGGACTCATTGTGAAATCTGGCTACCAAGCTGATAGTTTCATTTTAAACAGCTTGGTCGATGTGTATGGAAAATGCAAGCAGGTTCATGATGCGGGTAGGATTTTTGAAGAATGCCCGGTTTGGGATTTACCATCTTATACCTCGTTAATGACGACCTATGCTCAATGTGGACAAGGGGAAGAAGCTTTAAAGCTCTATCTAAAGGTTCTGGACAGGGGTCTTGCACCAGATTCTTTTATTTGCAGTTCTCTACTCAATGCCTGTGCAAATTTATCAGCTTACGAACAGGGGAAGCAAATCCATGTTCATGTCCTGAAGCTGGGGTTCATGTCTGATTCTTTTGCTGGGAATTCACTTGTCAATATGTATGCCAAATGTGGAAGTATAGAGGAGGCGGGTCGTGCTTTTGATGAGGTTCTTGAGAAAAGTGTCATATCATGGTCCGCAATGATTGGTGGGCTCGCACAACACGGCCATGGTAAACAGGCACTTCATTTGTTCGATGATATGTTGAAAGACGGTGTTTCCCCCAATCACGTGACATTAGTTAGTGTCCTTAGTGCCTGTAACCATGCCGGTCTAGTTGAAGAGGCCCAATTGTATTTTGACACAATGAAAGAGAGATTTGGCATCGATCGAACTCAAGAACATTATGCTTGCATGATTGATGTTCTTGGCCGGGCGGGGAAGTTGGATAGAGCAATGAATCTGGTGAACGGTATGCCATTTGAAGCAAATGGGGCCATTTGGGGGGCGCTTCTAGGGGCTGCCAAAACCCACAAGAACGTGGAGCTTGGGGAGCATGCAGCCAACATGCTTCAAACCCTAGAACCCGAAAAATCAGGGACCCATGTTCTCTTGGCAAATATCTATGCCTCAGCAGGATTATGGGATAATGTTGCAAAAGCACGAAGATTAATGAAGGATAGCAACGTGAAGAAGGAGCCGGGGATGAGCTGGATGGAGGTGAAAGATAACATACACACATTCATAGTCAGGGACAAAAGCCATCCTAGAAGTGAAGAGATTTATGCAAAACTTGAGGAATTGGGACGCAAGATGGAAAAAGACGGCTATGTTCCTATGATAGAAACTGACCTCCATCACGTGGAGAAGAAAGAGAAGGAACTCCTGCTCTCGTTTCACAGTGAAAAACTTGCGGTGGCTTTTGGACTGATTGTGACCCCACCAAGAGCCCCCATTAGGGTGAAGAAGAATCTCCGCATATGTGTGGACTGCCACACGGTGTTCAAGTACATATGTAAGATAGAATCGAGAGAAATAATTATTCGGGATATCAACCGATTCCACCACTTCAGGGATGGATTATGTTCATGTGGGGATTATTGGTGACCTTAATTTGAGTAATGATACACTCATGGTCTTTTATCTTGTAAAGAGAAGCTAGCTGATGGGCATATTTGGTACTCATTCTCCTTGGAGAATGGAGGACTATACTTCGAGGTTTAAAAAAAAACCTAGCAGCGAAAAGAAATAACATAACCTAACAATAAAAGACAACTAACAAAGACAACTAACCTAGCAACAAAACACAACTAACCTAGTAGCAAGAAAGAACTAACCTAGCAACAAAAGACAACTAACCTAGCAACTACAGATAACTAACCTAGCAGCAAGAAAGAAATAACCTAGCAACTTAAGACAACTAACCTAGCAGCATCAAACAACTAGCCTAGCAGTAAGAAAGAAATAACCTAGCAACAAAAGACAACTAACCTAGCAGCAAGAAGGAAATAACCTAGCAACAAAAGACAACTAACCTAGCAGCATCAGACAACTAACCTAGCAACAAGAAAGAACTAACCTAGCAACAAAAGACAACTAACCTAGCAGCAAGAAAAAAATAACCTAGCAACAAAACTCAACTAACATAGCAGCTACAAATAACTAACCTAACAACAGCAAACAACTAACCTAGCAACAAGACACATCTTTCGCTTCTGGATGACGATGACCTCCTTGGAGACGACATGGACCAGCCGGACGCCACGCCCAGGAGAGAGTCCATCCACCTATCCGACGATAGTGCGCGTGATGCTGGTCCTTTGACCGTGAACGCATCTAGCCCGGTCCGATCTTCGGATTCGAGAGCTACTGCCGCCACCGCCCCCCCGAAAGGGGATGAGTCGGCCCACCCCACCCCTGCCGAGATTGGGGACTCGGTCGAGCTTATAGCCAGCTCCCAGCCTCCTCCTAGCGGCGAGCACCCGAGTGGTCCGCCTGCTGGACACCCTCTTTCACCCATCCCAGAGCAGATATGCAGACTTAACCGCGCGCAGCATGACGTCTCGTGCGAGAGTTTCGCCTCTAGTGCTTTTCTTCACTTAGACAGACAGGAGACAGCCCCGGAGATGGGGCAACCCGCTAGTGCTGCTACAGGTCAGTCTGTCCAGCCAGACGACTCACAGGCCACGAGTACATACCGAGGCAGACAGACCTCGAGGACCAGAACCATGCAGCACACGAGACGGCGGATGATCTCCCCTGCTATTGGACCCTTCCGCCGCACGACACGACGGACGACCTCCCATTCTTTAGGTGGCCCGAATCAGCCTCGCCATAGGCGGACTACGTCCGGTGGCTCTTGCGACCGTTGATATGTCCATCACAACCATTACATGGAATGGCCGTGGCCTGGCGAACAGGGCTACTCTTTCTCACCTTCATTCTCTCATTCGTGACCACAGAGTCGATTTTGTTGGCTTTATTGAGCCGATGATTCGCACTCCTTCTTTTGACTACTACTCGCGTCGTCTGGGCTTCCATTCGGGCGTGGGTAATATTTCGCACAAGATCTTCTTCTTCCACTCGCGTGACTACACTTGTCGGGTCCTCCGCGACACCGATCAGGTGCTTCACGTAGAGATTTCCGCTGCCCATCTCCCGGAGCCCATCTTTCACACCTTGGTTTATGCCAAGTGTACTAGGGTCGGGCGATATGATCTTTGGGACACCCTGCGTGAGATTGCCGAGAGTATGGAGGGATTGCCATGGATGGTTAGTGGCGATTTCAACATCTTTCTGCACCCCGATGAGCGCGTGGGTGGCCGCACGGACCGATCCCGAGAGATGTGGGATTTTGCACAGACTGTGGCGGACTGCGAGTTGCTTGATGCTGGATGCGAGGGTGAGCCCTTCACGTGGGTTAGGGACAACCTCAAGGAGAGGCTCGACCGTGCTTTGATTTCTGAAGCGTGGTCGAAGGTGTTTGCGGTCACGACCGTCACGCACCTCACTCGATTTGGGTCTGACCATTCACCCCTCCTCATTAGATGTCGTTTTTCGAGCAATCCTCGCCGCGCTTCCTTTAGGTTCCAAAACATGTGGGTTCGCCACCACTCCTTCCACGACACTGTCAGGGATTCCTGGCTTCAGCCGACTGGGCTCTTCGGGATGCGCAATCTCGAGTCGAAGCTCGGCAGACTGCGGCGTCGGTTGAGACAGTGGAACTGGGATGTTTTTGGAAACCTTCATCACCGCTTTACTGCAGCTCAGAGTGCGCATGCGTCGGCTGAGCGGGCCTATGACCTGGATCCCACTCCGGAGAATAGGACCGCCATGCACCGCTGCCACGCCGAGTACCAGCTCCGACTCCTTATGGAGGAGGACTTCTGGAAGCAGAAGGCGACTGTTCGCTGGGTGGCCGAGGGCGAACGGAACACTAGGTTCTTCCAGGGCTACGTTAGGCAGAAGCGTGCTAAGTCGTACATCCATAGCATCGAGGCTAATGGGTCATCCTTGACCCAGGAGGCTCAGATTCGGGAGTCGGCTGTTGCTCACTTCCAGACCCTCTTCACCTCTGACAGAGGGTCCCTCGTGGCCCCGAACGCTTCTTTTTTCCCCACCATCCCTCCTTCGGTCGATCTCATTGGCCTCTGTGAGCTCCCGAGCAGGGAGGAGGTTAGGGATGCTGTATTCGGGATTGATCCCAACAGCGTTTCTGGCCCGGATGGTTTCTCCTCCCTCTTCTATCAGGTCTGCTGGGATATTGTCGAGACTGACGTCCAGGAGGCGGTGCTGGACTTTTTCTCCGGCCTCCGGATGCCGGATTCCTTCACGTCTACCTCTGTCGTCTTGATCCCCAAACGACCCAACCCGAGCTCTTGGTCCGATTACAGGCCCATCAGCCTGTGTAACGTGACCAACAAGCTCATTTCGAAGATTCTTAACGGCCGTCTTTCCCCTCTTCTCCCCTCTCTCATCTCTCCGAACCAGAGTGGATTCGTCAAGGATCGGGTCATTAGTGATAATATCCTTTTGGCCCAGGAGATGATCCACGACATCTCCCGAGCTGGAAGCGGGCTCCGAATATCGCGCTGAAGCTGGACATGGCTAAGGCGTATGATAGGGTTGAGTGGCCGTTTCTTAGGGAGGCGTTGGCTAGGATGGGATTCCCTGAGCGTTGGATCAGCTTTGTGGAGGCGTGTGTGGAGCATTGCACGTTCTCGGTCCTGATTAATGGCAGCCCCACCGATTTCTTTCCCTCATCTAGAGGCCTTAGACAGGGCGACCCTCTTTCCCCTTCCCTCTTCGTTCTTGCGGCGGACTACCTCTCTCGCTGCCTTGACGGCTTCATCCGCGACTCTCCCCATATGACCTATAGCACCTGTGGCTATGGTCCTACCGTCTCTCACCTCTCTTACGCGGATGCCATCATTATCTTCACCCGGGCGGATGATGATGGACTGGTCGAGCTCATGCGCCTTTTGGAGCACTATGGCTTGGTCACCGGTTAGCTGGTCAGCGTGCAGAAGAGCACCTTCATCCTTTCATCTGCCACAGTGGACAGGTGGGCTCAGCGGGTCCACGACATTACTGGCTTTGCGCGTGGCGACCTTCTCATTACCTACCTCGGGGTCCCTTTATATAAGGGTAACCTAACGAGAGCGCTCTTTGCGGGCGTCAGACAGAGGATGATCGACAGGATCTCTGGTTGGTCGCATAGATATCTTTCTTTCGGTGGTCGGCTAGCGCTGATCAAGAGCGCTCTTAGCTCTCTTCCGATTCACTTGCTTATGGTCCTCGACCCCCCTAGGTCTACTCTTGACGAGCTTGACCAGATTATGGCTCGTTTTTTTGGGGTTATGAGGACGGGTCTGGGAGGGGGAGACGTACTCACTGGGTGAGTTGGGACTCTATCTGCCGCCCCCTCCCAGAGGGTGGCCTTGGCATCCGCCGCCTTAGGGACATTGTTACAGCTTTCTCATACAAGCTATGGTGGCGCTTCAGGGAAGGAAAGTCGCTTTGGGCTCAGTACCTTCGCGGCAAGTACTGCCCTAGACGTGCCAACCACCCTTGTTGGGTCACGGCTGTTGATCATGATAGCAGACAGTGGCGGCGCCTCACTAGGGTCGGGAGGCGAGCCCAGGATCACATCTTTTGGGTTTTGGGCGGGGGCGATGTCAGTGTTTGGGATGAGTGGTGGGTAGGTGATAGGCCGTTGTCTAGGGATAGGCAGGTGTCGCATTCCCCCTACCTGCTCGTGAGCGACCTCTGGACGGACGGGTCGTGGGATAGGGGGAAGCTTGATAGGGAGTTGGGGGCTGGTGCGGGTTTTAGCGAGCAGTTATTAGATCAGATCCAGCAGATCCCTATCTCGGGGGACGGTTCAGATAGCATGAGGTCGAGACTTACATCATCAGGTGTGTTTTCTACTACCTCGGCTTGGGAGCAGATAAGGCTGAGGGATCGGCCTAATCTCCTCTTCGGGGCTATCTGGAGTGACCTTTTTACGCCTACTATTTCGGTATTCCTTTGGCGCCTTCTCTTGTGCCGGATACCCATCGATACTGTGCTACACGCGAGGGGGGTCTCCTTCCCCTCTCGGTGTGTGTGTTGTTCTGAGACCGGAAGCCATGAGACTGAGACCTTTACCCACCTTTTTCTAGAGAGTGAGATTGTGAGGAGAGTGTGAGAGCATTTTGCCACTTGGACTCATATATCCCTACCCACCACATACAGTTTTTTTGAGCTCCTGAGTTTTTTCTCACAGAGCACACACCTTAGACACGTGGGCTTCCTCATTCCTTGTCTGATCCTTTGGTTCACCTGGACAGAAAGGAATAGTGCGAAGCATAGGGACATTACTTTTATGTTTTCTCACATTGTTTTGCAGGTTGAGAGACACATTTCACTCCTCATCTCATTGGGCAGGCTCACGGCTCGAGACTGGACAGGCTGCATGCCACCGCACCGCTACATGGTGGCCCCATCATCGCCTGTTCGGACTCCTCGGGCCAGAGCTGTTGTTTGGCTTCGACCTGACTCTCCGTGGGTCAAGCTGAACACTGATGGCTCATTTGATCGTCACACTGGAGTTGCCGGAGGAGGAGGCCTGATTAGAGACCATAGCGGCGCCCTCATCACTGCTTTCCACGCGTCCATTAAGGCCTCCTCGAGCTACGACGCAGAGATTCAGGCACTACAGGTTGGCCTACAGATTGCTGCCCACCTTTCTAGTCATATATGGATCGAGCTGGATGCTGCGGCTGTCGCCACCCTCCTGACTTCGGGCCATCAGGGCTCGTGGCAGATTCAGCACTCACTTATGCGCATTAGAGATATACTTCGGTCAGTCCACCACAGGATTACGCACATTTTCCGCGAGGGGAACAGACCTGCTGACTACCTTGCCAGTCTTGGTGCCACCATACCCCATATACATACGTTCCAGAACGACACTGCTCCACTCCGCCTTCGCACGCTTGTTCGGATGGATCAGCTTGGATATCCATCTTTCCGCTTTCAGTAGATTAGGTTTTCTTTGTTGTCTTTTCATTTCATTAGATTCTCATTTTCTTTTTCGGGCACCTGTTAGCCCATAGACAGAGTTTGTATTTGTTTCGCTAGTGAGACCTTGTAGACTGNGCCGGAAGTCAACGCCGGAAGTCAATGGTCAATGCCGGAGTCAACGGTCAATGGTCATAATAATATTTAAATAATTAAAAATAAAGAATTAAATAATAAAAATAAAAAATTATTATTTAAATCAAGATCTAAATCTTGTGGCTAGGAATGAGTCTCACGTCCTCACTTTAAATAATGGAATGCATTGGAACCAATCCCTATATATATATATATATATATATATATTGGCCCTAATTCATGTAATGAATGAAAATAGAAGATACGTAGAGAAGTTATTTGAATTTTGGTTAAACTAGTACAGTGCACGTGTCATATACATGGTGGTAAAATTTTTGAGCAATTAGTTTTTTAGTATTAATTTTTTGAACAAATTATTACGGAAATAGAATAAAACTAATTAAATGTACTCCTATCATGAATATTAAAAAAAAATATAATGATATCATAGTATAAAAGGAATAAAAAATAATAATGTGTCAATGTAAAATAAATAGAATATAAAAATGTACTCACATTTCTTTTTAAGACTGTCGATTTCTCATAATCTTTAAATTTAGTGAGACTAACTATCATATTCTTTTATCTTAGTGAATGCCCGTGTTCCTTTATTCATGTTCTCACATCATTTATTCACGTTCTACTATAATGAGGCGTCTCTATCTGCTTCTATATCATTTAGGCCGATTGTAGAATTTGGTGGGCTTTCTTTCATTTTCTTATCATGTGTAGGTTGTACTCATGCGGTTGCAACATCCGCCACTACACTCTACTGTCCCTTTTCACTGTACAATTTATGATGACAAGAATTATAAATTAGAATTAGGCCGAGTCTAGTAAGCTCAATCCCATTTAGGACCTACACGCTTCTTCTCCCGAATCAATATAAATGAAAAAAATATTTAAATTTGAATCTCAAAAGATGTACTCCCTCCTATTCAAATAAAATGTCGTTTTGAGAAGTTGCACATAAATTAAGATTTTTTTATTTCCCACTAATAACCCTCTTTAATGAAAATTTATAACGTGAACCATTAGTGAAAAGTAAATTATGATTTATCTGTTCCACAAGT